AATAGCTGGTTCGCTTCAAAAGAAGAAATGTATTTTTGGCGTGGCATTCATAAACTGCCGGAGAGGTGGGAAAAATGTATAAATAGCAATGGACATTATTTTGAATAAAATATTTTTTATAATTTTCAAACAACAGACGTGTAATTTTTTACAAAAACATTCCGGTTTCATACTTCTACACCTGGTAATCGCTTTATCAAAACTTTCCGAACATTTTGTATGTATTAATTTAAGAAAATTTGTTATTATACTCTCACCGAATAAATATTTTTTATTTTTAAGATATTTTCTCTTAATGTATTTGTGTTTTATTGATAGATTTAATGCTTAATTTATTTACTTAATTTAACGATTTTACTCTATATCGTTTCGTTTCTTTTATAATAGTCTTAAAAAAAAGAGATTTTATTTCTTTGAGAGAATCATTTTTATTTTACTATTTTCATTTCAATATTTTTCAAATTTGGAGTCGGCTGATTATTGTAGTCGATTATTATTCCATGTGTAAAATTTCGACGATGAATCATCATTGCTCCATAGATTTCAGAAACAAGCCGCGATCCCGCAGAAATTGTAATAAAAAGAATAATGTACCCAGTCGAAGGTGCATACATGTATGCATGGAGCTCATATGTATGTGCTTTCGGTTATGTGCGTTATCTGCACCACAGTTTCTACGGAGCTGCAGTTTGTTTTTGGCATATATGCATTGCTCCCCTCCAATACGCTTATGTCTTCTCGCGAGCAGATCGGCACAGAAGTGGAAGGGAACGTAGCAGACGATGCGACGATGACGACATGTGACGCGACGACGGTTCTCTCCGCCAACGCGGCGCGTGGGGGTTCGCCGTGGATCCCATTTACTCTTCCGCTTGCCGCTCATCGTGTACTTTTTCGCCAGCCGTCGCTCTCGTCGTCCACGTACGACCTGACAGCTATAAAAGACGAGCCGCTCGACCGACATCTGGCCTAACGCCGCGCACTTTGTAGTCTACCTATGTGTAAAGGGGTCCTCGCGTCGTCTAGCAGCTTTTGCTGGTTACGGATTGACAAGGGGAACGCCGTCGACGCCCTTCTAGGAGGCTGCGAAACATATACAGAATGTCTCCGATCATTGCGCCGCGTGTGTGTTTTTTTTTAACTCTTGCTGCTCGTGTGATAAGTTTGATTTTCTTTTAACGCGAATGTCGAGCCCAGTACACATCAATGAAATTAGAAAAGATTTTGGTGACCTAATTCTCTTTCGTAACTGAACCTCCGTCTGATTCTTCCTAATTCGGCGAATTTTTTTACAGAGTAAAATTGTTGAACCCAGATAGCATGAAATATCTCCAAATCATCCCGAATGTATCCTGGATGCTCTGAAAAGTGTTTCAAAATATCCTGAATATGCATGCGTTAGTATTTCCCAACTGAACGCCTCGATCGTTTCCCTGACCCGTTTTACTGTGTGTGATGGGGCATTATCATGGAGCAAAATGACTTTGTGTTGCCTTTTTCCATATTCCGGTCGTTTTTCACGCAATGCTCGATTTAAATCGATCATTTGTTGTTGGTAGCGATCAGTGTTAACGGTTTCACCAGGTTTTAGCAGTTCATAATAGATAGATTACACCCTTCTGATCCCACCAAACACAGAGCATTGTCTTCTTTCCAAAGCGATTGCAGTGGATGTCGATGGTTCGCCTGGATTCACCCATCATTTCTGACGCTTAGGATTCTCAAAATATATCCATTTTTCATCACCTGTCATGATACGATGGACTTTCTTTTGTATCTGTCGAGCAGCATTTCACAAGTGGTTTTTCGATTTTCTTGCTGTCTTTCATTCAGTTCATGCGGAACCCATTTTCTCACTTTCTGAATCATGGCTTTCAAACGAATTGAGACAGCTTTCTGCGTCACATTCAATTCATCCACGAGTTCTTGTTGAGTTTGAGTATCATCTTCATCCAATAAGGCTTGCAATTCGTTGTCTGCGAACTTTTTCGGTGGTTTCCCACGCTCTTCGTTTCTCACGTCAAAATCACCACTTTTGAATGTTTTGAACCATTCGAAACACTGTGTTTTATCAAGAGCATGTTCACCGTAAGCTTCAACAAGCATTCGATTCTGCAGCAGTTTTCTTCAAATGATAACAAAAAACCAATGCTGTCCGCAAATCGTAGTTCGTAGACACAAAACTCAACATGTTTAAGGTGTAGAAAAATATACCGATGTATGGAACTTGGGTTGTTGTGTGTTGAAAATGTTCATCAGCTGTTAGAGGGAGATGATGGCGCTGCAGAAGCGGTCTTACGGTCCCTAAACTGATGGCTAGCACCATCTATAGGAAAATTCCGGTTTCATACTTCTACACCTGGTAGCTATTAAAAATGACATTTAGTATAGCGAAAGTATCAACATAACCTTCAAAATACTTAGTTCAGTAGAATCAAATCATGGCAACAGATAAAGTGCATTTCCAACACTGTTCTTTATGAATTGGGACTTGGTTAGGTGGCATGAATGAGAGTGTGTTGTTTGAGAGAGCATTTGAAAATTTTATGTAATTTAGATTGTAAGAATAGGTCTGGCAAAGCTGAGAGGTAAAGAAAATATAAGTCTTAAGGTGAGGTAACGGGATAAATGAATGTGAAGGGTATGAATCGGGTGCGAATCGTGAACCGCCGCTTTCCTCCGCCCGAAGCTAGAAGACGCAGCGACGCGGAGAAACATAGATTCCGCGGAAGAACCCGTTGCGAACCACTATTCGCAAGTATCACGACCGCGCATCGGTAAAAGACATCTTTCTTTCTATATGTTATATAGGCTTATCGCTTCTCGTGCGCTCATTAGTTCAAACAGAATAATTAATTTCTCGTTAACTACTGCGAATTTTGCAAAATGGGTCTACCTTTTCTATCAGTTTAACGCCTTCTATTTATTTGAGTGAATGTGCGAAACATATCGTACACTCTATATATAATTATACACTCTATATAGAAGAAATTTTTTCCTGGGATTTGAACTTGGCTACAAATTTCTAGCCTCAAATCGAAACACGATGAAAAAATAGCTTCTCTTAGAAAAACATGTAAAAAGAATAGCTGGCGCATGAAAATATTAAACGTGATTGGAAGAATGTTATTTTTATTACAAATCCCTTTTTTGGAAAAAAAATGCTTTTGGGCAAGGAAATCAGTCGAACTTGTTCTATCCCTATGAACAAAATTTCTCCAGTGGACTATAAAACATCTGATAAAGATGCATGATGTTTGGAGCTATTTTTTAAACCAAGACTGTGATACTTTATCTCTTACAGAGAATTTGGTTGTCGAAAAGATAATTAAGATTGATTAGAAAGCATTAGTACCATCTGCCGAACAGTGATTTCTAAACAAAAGACGAAACTGGATTTTTTAAGAGGACAATGATTCAAATATAAATATAATATAAAAAATATCGAAGTCATTTTTACTTCCAACGGAAAGAAGAAAACAACATCAAAACATTAGACTGGCCAACATAGTCACCAGGTATAAATTCTATCGAAAATGAGGATTAGTGGAGATGAAGCTACATGAAGAAAAAATGTACTCGACGAAACATTTATCTCGATTCGTTCGATATGACCATTCCTCGAGAGTACTGGTACGGAAAAAAATCACAAGAAAATGAAAAAATTACTAGTATACTAAGAAGAAAGATAGTTCCTCAGTAATAAACCAACAATTTTTTCACATACTTGTAGTTTCTTTCCGTACGGGTATGCTGCAACATTGGCAAAAGTTATATCTCGAAGATGAAGGCAATAATTGACAACGATGATGATGGGGCAACTTAATATCGTATATAGATGGTTTAAATGACATTGCAAAAATAGTGCAATAATTCTGCATGAATAAATGTAACCGACTTATCACGCTTTTTTAACAGCAATCCTTACATCAGAAAACAGTAAAACAAACTTTTCCCAAAAGCTTACCCGTGAACAATAACTACTAAAGGATAAATACTAAAATAGCGATATTTTGCCTGATGTTTCGTTTGGCTCTCCGCAAAGGATACAAACTTCAAACTACAGAATTCTATTCGCACCAATCACAGTCGAAGTATAGAGATGGTCGGCATTACCCAGGGACCGGTATTACCTTATTCTCTCCTAATTAAATAATATACATGTAACTTTTTTATTTTTTATAATATATAGCTGAAAAGTTATGTTTACCACGTTCTTATTAAACAAAGTGTACATATTAATGTTAAGAAATATTCTACTATAATAATGTGATAATATCATTTTAAATATTTAATTATTTATAATCTTTCTATGTATCTTATTTAAATAACTTATTTAAGTTACTGTTTCATATATAACAGCTTTTAACATTTATTAATCCGGTGTAGTACGGGTGATCGAATTCCTTATTAGATAGGCGCATTGCCTCCACACGGAGTTGACGAAGTTCTGTAGCGCACAAAAGATAGACGGATGCCGATTCAGCCGTCGTGTGAACCGGATCTACATCGTTACCAGCTGTCAAGCTGACATGTCCACGTCGTCTCACGTTGAGTAGACCACCCTGTCTTTCCGCGGCATTGCATAGGATACGATCAACAAACACTGCATTTTAGTAAGCCGATGTCGGTCTCGATGCAATCCGCTGTGAAAGTTTTATGCACGCATCTTTGTAAAACAGTAGCTGAGTCAAATTGGGGAGAGAGAGTTTTCATTGCGAATAATTTATTGGTAATTTGGAGAATCATCAATCAATCTAGTCGTTTTAAAAATATCTTCATTCGGATAAATCTTATTAACTTCTTCAAATATTAACATACATATATAAATTTAGATTCAATTTTATCTTTTTAATTGGAACACATTGTCAATAACATATAATAAAATGTAATGTGAATAAATAAATATATATTCATTACGCAGAAAATAATGCCGTTGAATCAATAGAATTACTAACAGAACGCACGTACGTAAATCCAAGTATTTCATTTTTACAGATATCTGTGAAATTTCCTGGTAGAATTATAAGCAGATTTCCTAGACATCCATCCAATTACTGTCTAATATTAATATATTCTTATTAGTTATAATAATACTGTATGGGAAATGGACAAGAACATGATACTGTTTTATTCAGACATAATTCAAGAATAAAACTGCCCATTTTATGAGGATAAATCAATAAGTACCGGTGTTAGTAATGAAGGCGCAAGTTTATCACAAACATTTTTTTTATTTTTTAACGTAATCCTCTTTTAGGAGAATACACTTTTCCCACTGCCATTTTTAAGCCTTCTGAAAAATACCATTTGTTAAACTCTGCAAAATAGGCCTCTGATTTGTCGACGATCTCTTCATTCAATGTGAATCTCTTTCCACACAGCCAGACTAAATTAGCTTTTCTTATATAGCTATTATTGTACGTATATTCGAAAAGTATATGTCTCACATGTGAATTCGCACGCACAACCTTACTTTTATTATATTGATTACATCGTTGAAAATCACTGTTTTTTCGACATGAAAAGAAAGAAATTGCGAATAATATTTTTATACGAATTTAATCTTGGCTTACTGCGGTCGAGGCAACGCAAAACATAAACACTGCTTTTGGGAAAGGTTCTGTAAGTGATCGAATCACCAGACGTTGGTTCGAAGAGCTTCGGTCTGGTGATACAAACCTCGACAATTTGTTTTGCAGTCATACTATTTCAGCGATTGATGACAGTGTTTTGAAAGACATAGTTAAAGCAATCTCGTATTTATTAGTTCGAGATATTGCATACAATGCACTTTATTGTTCACTATTCAACTGTTTCCCGATACCTCAAGGGCATAGAGAAAGTGGAAAAGCTTGACAAGTGAATACTACCTGAACTGAGAGAAACAAGCTTCGCCGATAATCAGCTTTTCATTGCTTTCCTGGCACAATAATAAAGGAATATTCAATCGAATAGTAACATGTAATGAAAAGTAGATCTTTTATGACAATCGTCGACATTCTGCGCGGTGATTAGATGCTGATAAAGCCCTGAAACATAGAGAGTGCGCTATCTTAATTGGGACTAAAGTTACATTTTATTGTAAAACTCGTTTATTAAATACTAAATGAAACTTACAAAAAATTATTTGCATATTTTGTTTATGGGACACTTTCTGTAAACTTTCACTCTATATAGCCATCTTTGATCTTCTATCACCACTTCCTCAATCCTCAGCTTGAAGCGAGAACATGCTCTCTGCATTTGATCTCAGCCTATGTCTGCGATTGCTTATTGAATTGCGGTCCGTAGAGATGCCACATAAAGGTGTCTCGACTTATTACTGAATCTCTCAACAACGCTCCAAACGTAGTAGTCCAATCGATTAAGGCCTGGACTATTTGGGGGCCAAAACGCTTCTTGAGTGAGCACAGAAACAAGCGGCAGCGGGCAACTCTCTCGGTCTTGGCATCTTTCGAAAGCATTTGTCGCACTTTAATGACGTAAGATGCGTATCTCAGTTCTTCTTCAGCAATTCTTTGCATAGTGATATTGCTCACACCCAAGATCGAAGCCAAATTTCGGAGCGATATCCCAAGACCCTATGAAATCAAATCCTGGATCTTTTCCAATATTTCAGAGGTCCTTGATGTTATTTCACGTAAATGTTTCTTCCTTACCAGATCACAGGAACGTTCGTTCGATTGCTAAGAAACCGAAAACTTCTGAACCACCCGGTAAACAATCGATTTCGAATAACCAAAGAACCTCATAATCTCAGGCATTGCAACCGGAGGTACAGCCGCGTAGGGAAGCGCGGCTGACCGGAAGAAGAGGGAGACCGCGCAAAGCACAAAAACTAGAACCGAAACAAAATTAAGAACTTATTTCAGTAATTTTTAACATTTTATTTTTGTATTATGGTTACGACAGTTATTCTTTATATTAAGGCTACAAAAGTTTATTTTTTATATTATGAGTTTATTTTTAGATAATTCCACGTACGATAAGTAAAAAATATCGAAAAGTTTTAGTTAATGGCATGTTAGGGCGATCTATAAGTCGCGCGTGCGAAGTCACACAGAAAAGAAGAAAAAAGTTATTTTATAAACCACTAATAAAATCAATAAACGAAAAGCGGAAGTTATTTTTTCAAATAAAAACCGGAAGTAGAAGGGGACTTCCGGCCGGCAATATCACGGACCCCAGCCGACATAGAAATAAGGTTAGGTCATCCCAACGACTGGCTCCAGTCGGTTAGAAAGTAAGGTTAGGAGAATTAGGTTAATTCAACCGACTGGCACCAGCCGAATCTAAAGTAAGAAATGCGCGTGCGCAAGACCCACGTGGGTTGAAGGCAATTGGCCAAAATTAACAGCGAGAAAAACTATTGGCGGAGATTGGCGACGACTGGACGCGCGCCTGCGCGAAGGCCCCGATGGGCGAAAACGATTGGCCAAGACCAACGGCGAATCAGGAAGTATCGCGGAAAGCAGGCCAGGTTCGAAATTGAAGAAGAAGCAAATAGGACTGTTCTACGGGAATGTTTGAGGCGAGAGGACGCAGAGTTTGAGAAGCCCGGAACTACACAGACGAAAGAGACGAGGGATCCTTGAGAAGCTGTTGCCGAAGCGGAAAGCCTGCGAGAACGGCCTGATGCACAACTGCTGGTGGAGGCCCAGAAGATGTGGGGGAACGACCGGTCGCCGCTGCGACGGTAAGTGGTGTATAAGTGCCACAGTTCCTCTCCGCGTAATCATCCCTTTCTTCGGAAACCCCGCGTCGGAAACCCGAGACGTCGTACGCATGAAAATACGCGAATCGCGACATAAGTCCACGGAATCGGGAAATTCCGCTCGGAAGAAATCCGTCGTCGGCGGGATCAAAAGGACGGCTCAACGCGCTAACCGACGCGAATTGCGTCATCTTATCGCGCACGGCCGATCTTGTCGGGACTTGCTCACGACAAGAGTTCTGCGTCGCAATAGCGCGACACAAAGAAGCCACGGACAACGCCGCGTGGTGATACTTTTTTTCTTATCGGCGTAATTATTCGCGGAATACTTCCGTCTCATATATATATTCTTTTGTTGCGTAGGTTGCTATATACTTTTGTGTTGTTCGTGTAATATTCTTTCATTATTTTACCCTATTATCGTTAGTCGCGTTGTATTATACTCATTACTCGTATGTACATATCCATTCCGCATTTCCTACGTGCGTTAATTCTGTTTTTATTTAGTTTTGCTTTATGTTCTGATAGTATGTAAAAATCCGTATTTTTTGTTAATCCTGCTATCATTAGCCGCTTTGATATTTGTTTAATCTTATAAATAGATTTCGATTAATAGTTCTTATATATAGAAGCTAGTGATTAATTACTTATTTTGAATATTTTATTGTTGTTAGTAATTCGTAATAATTAAATTATGGAGTTTGTAGTAATCCCAAATATTTCAGTGCTTAAAATTTACAGTAAATATTATCTTATCATTAATATAAATATTTAAATATTAATATTTAATAGTATAGTAGTGATGAAATACCTTTATAAAAATTTAATACTGAGAATTACTGAATTTGCAGTGATTAAATATTGAGAAAACAGTGGAAATACAATAGTTAGTGACCATAGATAAAGCAAATGTTCCGGTAACAAAAGATCTAGGATGTTTGATTGCTAACAAGATGACTCAGGTTCAATATTGTCTTGAGCCTGTATTTTTCTTTTCGTTTTCCTTTTTTTCTTTTTATTACTTTTATTTCATTATTATTGTATTATTATTATTATAAATAAAAAAACTGACGTATAATCTTTTTATGTACATAATTTAACAAATTAATCAATGATTAGGTGTTAGCCAAATAATTACTGAAACACTACCAGTATTTAATCATTGTAAATTCCTTAATAATTCTCAGCATTAAATTTCTGTAAAAATAGGAAGTTTGATCAACGTTGATTTAACATTATCAAACATTTTTCATTACTTATCATTAATATTGTGATTACTTTATAATTCGCTGATAATAATAAACAAGTATAAAAATAACAGCCAGTTTAAATAAATGATATAAAACTACGAAATATTAAAAATCACATAGGCCTATATTGTAGCAAAATCGACTTTCATTTATCAACCGTTTCGACGTTTTAAGTATCAAATCAAATTCGATTCAATGTTGTGCTTCTAGAAAAGGTGAGATTCCACTGTAAGAAATTTCAAAAATATTACAAATACATAAATTTTTTAGAAGAACAGGACAACTATATCAATGTATTATTTCTGCATTAGCTTGTGATAACTTTATGAGTTCATTTTCTCAGTCCCTGGTTTCCAAAAGCGATTATTTTAATAAACGCATATCCGATATACGTGACACATCCTGCCGCAGACATGTGCATCCTATTTACGCAGGATCTGAAGCGAGACCGAAAATGTCCTAGCGCCTCTCTTGGTGATTTATACATAAGAGGCGGATGTACGTCGTGAACATAGAAGGGTGTTTCGGCAACGAGAGTGAAATTATATATGTTGCTTTTCGATGGGGAGCGACTCGAACGCGGTGCGACTTCCTTGTTATTTCATAGTCGAATAAATTGCTGTTTGCTTCTTTTGCGGAATGTTGTTGCGCATTAAAGCGGATCATAAGGGTAGCGATGTCATGAGTAGAATAACATCAAGTCTACGACATGTGCTGACTAATTCACCGCTAATACACATGGGAAAGAACACCGAGGAACTTAACTCAACATCGAAACGAAGTCCAACGTAGACAGATGTTTCACGAGCGAGAAACTAAAAATAATCAAGAATATTGTTATCAGCTGAACGAGAGAAGAAGTATAGTCGGCAGATTAAAAGTTGCGACTTTTTTTTTGAAGAATTTCGCAACGTTTTCTTCATTCAATAGGAGAATTCGTTTTAGAATAATTTTCGGGAAATATATTTTTCTATTGGATCGAAATGCGAAACTCATCGAAGAAGAAAGTATTGCACCTTTTGGGACCATGGCACACACAAAACGTAAGCAATAAAACTTAAATAGTAAGCAAATTGACTATTTGCGGTATTCTTCTTACTTCGAAGAATAATCGAGTATGATTGGTCAATTTGCTTACTTCTTATGACTTATTGCTTACATTTTTCTGTATGTCATGGCTCTTAATCTGCTGATTGTATTTAACACTAGAACTACCGAGAAAAAACAAAGCTATTTCTGCCAAAACCAGTCAAAATGACTGGTCTTTAAAATATATGTAATAATAGAATATTTTTATATTTATTAATTTATTACTATCTTACAAAAGAAATTTAAAGTTATGAAATTACAACTATTTATGACAACTATAAAATATAAAGTAATTATTAGATACCAAAAGTTATGATTCGTCACATTCTTACAAATATAGTTTTTCTTCAGAGTGCATTGTCCGCATACATAATTTTTACACGTATTACAAATGATGGTAGTCTTATTATTATTACAGTACCATTTGCGTGAACAAGATGAGCTCTTTGAAGTACTTTGAACATCAGCCTCTCGTGACTCCATTCCTGATTTTACGTTTTCAATGGCAAGTTCACTTGCTAGTTGAAACATAAAATCTTTTTTAGATATCTTCTCACCTGTTGTTTCCCTATATAAGATCCAGGCATTTATGCCAGCTAAATCTAAAATGTTGTAAAAAACTTGGAGTGGCCATCTTCTTGATCCTGATCTGACACTGTATTTCTTTACCATTTGGTCTGTAATGTCTACGCTAAATTTAGTTTTATTATAAAACTCAACTGTTTCAGGTAAGCTCCTGTTACTTTTTTCAAATATGATGGATTTATGTTTCGAACTCAATATAGAAACTTTCTTTTTCGGTTTACTTTTGTAAATTGTAAGAGTAATCTCATTTGATCTATAAAACAATTACGAAAAACAAACCATTTTATCCTTCTTTGTTTTACAAATTTTTACTAATTCCTTTTTGTTGCTGCGTATAGTGCCAACCAGTGTGGTTCTTTTTTAAAGCAATTTAGATGCCAGCGGTAAGCTTGTAAAAAAATTGTCAGTTGTTATGAATCTTCCCTTCATGGTATACAATTCAATAAGTTTGAGTACGATAAATTCACTAAGAGGTTATGATGTTACTCGTGTTTCATCTCTTCCTAAATAAGGAAACCTATTTAGAATATATTTCGTTTAAACATCAGATGCCAGCCAAAATTTAATACCAAATTTGTCAGGTTTATTCGGCACATATTGCGTAAAATGGCATCTGGCTTTAGTTGGAAAGAGTTGTTCATCAATCGTAATATTTTGTCCTGGCTTGTAGCAATTCTGACTATTTTGAATAAACCTATCCCATACTGTTGATATCAAAGCAAATTTATCATTTTTTAAACGTTGACTTCTATCATACTTTTTATTGAAGCGAATAAATTTCAATATTTCGACAAAATCATTTCGTCTTATGGTGTCGGAAAACAAGTGTGGTCCCCATTTTCTGTTCCATAAATATAACAGTTTCAAATTATTTGCTTCGTATGCTCCCTGTGCATACAAAATTCCAATAAAAGCTTTAAATTTTGGTTTCGTTAGGGTCCATTTTTTATCCAAAACTCGAGAAGCTTCTAATTTTGTGCAAGATATTATATATTCAAGGATATTGCTGTCAATGAGTAATGAAAATGTGCTATTTACTTCACCTTTCATAAAATTTTTTTTGGTATATCCTGTGGAACCGGATATTTCTTTGAAAATATTATGTAGTGATAATCTTCCAACACTAGACCCTTCTTTTATTTTTTCCCAACTGGTTCCGTCTGCGGCAATTTCAATTTGATGATATTGTATATTATTTTCATCTTCAGAACTTGAAAACACACAAACACGTCTTCTTTTACGTAAATTCAAAATATTTTCTAATTCACTGTCCCAGAACTCCTAAACTTGGTCTATAATCTCATTATCACTATTCACACTATAAAGTTCAATTTCATTTTACTCTAATTCACCATCCTCGATATCAGAGCATTCCATAAGTACATTGTTCAGTATTTGCACAACAGTTCAGAGGTTTTCAATCGTTTTGCCGTTTTTCGGGCTTGTAAAATAACGTCAAATAAGACAAAATTAAGTCCTATTCCAACGACTATAGTATATTCCGTCGCGATCCTCCAATTAAACCCTGCCACGTGCCGTACTTGTGCCGGAAACATTTGAGATGCGTCGATTCCCTTAGCACTGTCGCTAAGCAAGCGGCATTTGTTTCTCGAGCGTTTCGGTTTGACTTTAGGATCGCAACGGAACATGATATTCAGAATGATCGCGTGAAATGGCATCGATACTATTGTTACGTTACACCACGGTTATGTTTATATGTCTATGTTGTATCGTCAGATAAGCCGTGGCATGCAAGTAAATTTTCTAACAAAGAGCTGATAAATCCATCTAAATATCTAATCAACGGTGTCGGGTTTGGGAAACAGATTGTAGGATACTTTTCCACTTTGAAAAGTAACGGTCAAAATATCTGGTATTGTTATAAGTACCAATGTTACAAAATTATTTTGATTCAGCGTAAAAAAATGAAATTCATTATATTATACTTTTAGTTATCCCTGCAAAAATCACTACATCATTGCGGAAAAAAAATATAACATGAAGTAGGAATTTTATAGTGAAGTTGTAAAACCAGTCATTTTGACTGGTGTGGTAGCTCTAGTGTTAAAGAGTTAGACCTTGGGATGTGACCGAGTGTCACTAAACAAGTAGATAAAGTCGATGTTAAACCGTCCGAGCCGCACAGAACATCTAGAGGTTGACTTCTCCATGGATCCCGCTGCCCATACACAGTCGCCCGGGCGTTTCTCGAATTCCGCCCAAACTTTTGGCCTAGGAAGCTGGACCAGCCAAGTCTCTCCAGAGGTGCCGTATAGTAATGTGTGCGCGGGGGGATTCCCTCTTCGACAGCGCTGTCGTCTCCGAAGAGATGTTCGAATCGCGGGACGCTCGCTTCGGACACTCAGTATGAAGATAGGAAAATGCGAAAAATGAAACACGTACTCTTTGAAAACAAATAAGATGAACTCTATTTATAAAAATAAAAAATATGAAAGCAGTTAATGATAACAGGATTGACAAAATACGGATTATAAATACTATTAAGAGTATAAAGCAAAACTAAGAAATACAAGATAGTATAAAGGAAATAAAAAACGGCTTGATAATGATTGACTTAGGAAATACGGAATAAATATATATATATATATATATATATATATATATATATATATATGTAATGGATATAATATCACACGGCTAAACGATAATAGAATAAAATAACGGAAGAATACTATATGAATAATGCAAAAGTGCAGGACCACCTAACAACACTTCGAGAGACGAAATAGTTCTGCGAATAAGTACGCCGATAACGAAATGATGCAATGCGGGGTCGTTCGTGTTCTCTCTATGTCGCTTTATTGCGACGTAGGGCTCTTGCCGCGAACAAGTCCCGACAAGATCGGGCGCGCTCAACAAGACTGCGCAGTATGGATCGTTCAGCTTGTTGGCCGCCCCTTTGATCCTGCCGACGACGATTTCGCTTCCGGACGAAATTTTCCGGCTTTGGTGTACTTACGTCGCGATCCGCGTTTCTCACGCGTGCGACGTCTCGGGTTTCCGACGCGGAATTTCCAAGAAGAGAGAAGATTACGCAGAGAGGAACTGTGGCACTCTTATAAACCACTTACCGTCGCAGCGGCGACCGGTCGTTCTCCCACGTTTCCTGGGCCTCCACCAGCAGGTGCGCACCAGGCCGTCCTTGCAGGCTTTCCCCTTCGGCAGCAGGTTCTCGAGGATCCCTCGTCTCCTTAGTCTGCGCAGTTCCGGGCTTCCTCAATTCTGCGTCCTCACGCCTCCAGTGTCCACATCGAACAGTCCTCGTTGCTTCTCTTACAATTTCGAATATCACCTATTTTCCGCTATCTTTCTGATTCGTCGTTGGCCTTGGCCAATCGCAGTCGCCCCTCAGTATCTTGCGCAGGCGCACGCGCGGCCATCGCCGGTCTCCTCCAATACTCTCGCTCGTTTCTCGTTCTGGCCAATTGCCTCTCACCCACGTGGGTCTTGCGCATGCGCGTTTCTTACTTTCCGTTCGGCTGGCACTTCGCTTTTATATCAGCCGGGGTCTGCGATGCCGCCTACCGGAAGTCCCCTTTTCTTCCATTTAATTCCGGTTCTTATTAAAAAAACTTCTGCTTTTCGTATACCGAATTTATTAAAATAATTTGGGCTTAGAATTATGTAAAACTTAAACTTGTAATATAAAATTATACTTTTGTAGTCTTACTCTAAACATAACAAAAATAAAACTGTTCTTATAAAAATTAACTGAAAAAGATTCTTAATTTTGTTTCGGTTTTGTTCTTGTGCTTTGTGCGGTCTCCCTCTTCTTTCGGTCAGCCGCGTTCCCCTACGCGGCTGAACCTCCGGTTGCAGGGACCAGAATTTATACTATTTTTTGACAATTTTTTTAGAAAGGGAATAAAATAAATAGAAAATCTATTTGAAGGGCATTGTTAAATCTATATATTATCTATTAATTATCTATAATAATTATCATTTATAATAATCTATTTATTATCTAACAAAATTTGTATATTATTTATTTTCGGTATAAAATGGCAGTGCTAAAGCTGTCTCACTACATTGCTATGAGCAATATATTAGGTTGGTAAGAAAGTTATGTCGTTTTTCTGTTGCTCCAATTGAAATGTTTATTATTTCGTTGTTCTTTGTGCGATTTAGACAATTTTAGTATTAATCGAAAGCTAATATTTCCACGTTTTGATTTTTGATATTACAGGTGGTTTTTAATCATTAAATTTTGAGAAATAGGGTATATGATAGATAAAAAAAAACTTCAGACACTCTACGCTTTATGAGTTTCAACTTGGTCATAATGCGACGGAAGCCCATAAAAATTTGTGTTTCGTCTTTGGACCATCTAAAGTTAAAGTGCGTACGATCCAAAGATGGTTTGAAAAATTCAGATCAGGTGACATGAAGCTTCAAGATGAACCTCGCGGAAGACCAAAGAAGCTTGATGACGACGTTCTGAGGGCTTTATTGGGTAATGAACCACTATTAACTACGAGGGAGATCGGGGATAAGTTAAGCATTAGTCATATGACAATTGAAAACCACTTGAACAAGCTTGGCTTTGTCTACAAATGGTATCGTTGAATTCCTCGTGAATTAAGCGAAAAAAATATGGCAGATCGAATTTCTATTGCTTCTTCTTTGCTTGCTCGACAACAATATGAACCATTCTTGGATTGCCTGGTTACTAGTGATGAAAAGTGGATTATGTACGATAATGTAGTGAGGGAAAGAGCCAAGGTAATGCCAGGCAGTTCGCCTCCTACCCTTGCGAAGGCCAATTTGCACCCAAAAAAGTTAATGCTTTGCATTTGGTGGGATTGTCGAGGTCCTATCCACTGCGAACTGTTGCAACCAAATCAAACTGTCACAGCAGACCTATATTGTGATCAGCTAACCCGACTGGATACAAAAATATGTGAACTTCGTCCAGCACTGTATAACCGAAAAGGGGTTATCTTCCAACATGACAATGCCAGGCCTCACGTGGCTTTAAAGATAAAGGAGAAGCTCCAGGATCTTGGTTATGAAGTTTTCACATCCACCATATCATCACATCCACCATACCACCATATCACATCCACCATACTCACATGACCTGGCACCATCTGACTATCACTTGTTCCTCTCGATACAAAATTTTCTTAAAGGAAAAATATTTCGAAATTTTCAGGATGTTCAGAGGGCAGTGGTAGATTTCCTTGAAGCCAGGAAAGATCCTATCCTTTGCTTTTATACATTCGGCATAAATGACCTTGTTGACAGATAGAGGAAGGTCATAGAAAACAGTGGTCAATATTTCATTAATTAATGTCACTTATGAGCTTAAATATAAGAAATTGAAATTTCCTTAAAAAAATGACATAACTTTCTTACCAACTTAATATTTTCAGACGACCTTCTCCGCGGTGACGTAAATGGCGGTCGCATTTATTGAGCTGGTACAGGAGAATAAGATTTTTTAGGTTCTACAAAACATTTGCTAGAAAAATATGTAGGATTTTTTTTAAATATTAATTTTTATGGAAATAGTGGCTACTTAAATAGAAACATTTTTCATTTAAAAAATAAATAAACATTATCTGTGTCAAAAACTTTTTAATATATCAAAAACAGCTATATCGAAAAACGGTTATATATCGAAAAATGTATTTCTCTAGATTAATGAAAAAGAAATTGACTAAAATTTTTTTTTCAAGTCAATCTAATGAAAAATGTGAGAACTATCGACGCCATCAATTCTGAAATGTTATTTCCAGAAAAATTCGTTTAAAGTTTTGAAAGTGATTTTTAACTATAAAAAATAAGAGAAATTTACATTAACTTTTTAGTATGCTATTCCTGCGTCATATAATAGGTTTTCCAAATTCTCATCAGCTTTTTTTGCTTTTTTTTGGTGAATTTGGTCGTTTTCCGGGACAATTTAGCAGTTTAGATCATAAAATGCTTGTGTTCACGCGTCAGGCATCTGCTGCAATACAATAATTATAACAATCGTTGCCTATTTTCAGACTCAAAATCTGCATTATAGCTATTATGTTGGAAAAGCCGTCGATATAATTACGTATGGTAATATCCATATTCAAAATATTTGCACCTGAACTAATTTTCGGAGCGATGGACCACATGGCCGAATTAAAACTTTCATTACTGTTTTGGGTAGAGCTTCCAATATAACGAGTCAATAAATCTTTGCTGCTAAGGTCTTCGTATATAGATTTTATAACATTGAAAAGCAATATATTGAGTGATGTTTTGCTCGATGGTGCTTAGTGTGCTCAGAAATATTGACTCTAAACTTATTAAGCAGTGGGAATTTCTCATTCAAACTAAAGAAAAATTATTTTTAAAACGTTACACTATTAATTACGCAAAAAATCTCGATTTTTTAAAATCTCCAAAGTGATTTTTAGGAGCCCTTTGAGAAGATAAAACCCTCATAAGGAGATTGTATAATTCAGTGTCATATTTATAGTGGAGCATGAAGAAAGGACGAGCTATTTATAAATAATATTTATCGAGTAAAATTGTTTTTAACACGTTAGACACCACGCCGATTTTACGTGTCGTTCCGTTCATGCCACAGTTAGCCGTCAAGCGGGCCCTTCCGGGCCGCTCGCCGATATGTAAGCCAAAGTATAAATAAACAAATGTCAGCTAACGGAACTAAAAACTAGAAGGTACTGCACCGAGTGCTATAATTAAAATTCACAAATGTTAGATTCAAAGACAGCCAAAAATGTAACGCAAAAAGCTACAACCTTCTGTAATCAATGTACAAGCAAACCTCACCTTTGTTTACCTTGTTTTAATAAATTACATTAATGTTTTTAAGTATTATATTCTTTACCTTAAAGCATTGACCAAAAAAAAACCGATGTCGCCTAAATTAAATGTTCAGTCTCACAAGTACGCAAGGACCGACACGCGCGCAGCAATAACAAGAACGAAAAGTTTGCCGCCGGTCCCTAGGGACCGGCATAGCCTAAACGGAAAGTCTAGCGCCGGTCCCTAGGGACCGTCGTGGCGTTTAACGTGTTAAACATTTATTTCACTATCTAAATGATAAATGTTAATTTGAAACGAAGTTGAGATAAATATATATGCATATTATAAAAATGGAAATATTTTTTTATTTTTTTTATTAATTTTATGTTTATGCTGCAACAACACAAACTTCCAAGGGACATCCTAAAGACGTTCAGAAGATATCTTACGTCCTAAGAAAGTTTCCACATCTTTTAGATAAGGAATGCTGTATGGACATCAGTTGTGATGTGAATAATATCATAATTTTTTTAGCATTATGTAATATGTACTTTCATTAATATGCTGTTACAAGCGTATTAAATAATATTAAAAATTATGGGAGATATTCCCACTGACATCAAAGATATCTGTTGAAATTTTGCGTATTGCATTGACCATTAATATCGAAATGGTTGTATCAATGGGAAGTGCACAGAGTTTTCCATTTATTGCTACAGTATTGCGGAAAAATTAACATATGTATAATCACGCAAATAATATATATTTTGTAAATATTGTTACACCCGTGTCTTGATGCCCGCGCCTTTAGCGCCCTGAACATACAGCAGATTCTCTTAGCAACGAGTCGTAAACAACAGATGATCAGCGTTGACTAATAAACAACGGGTTAAAAAGATTCTCTTTGGGGTCGTTGAGTCGTCGTGACGTGCGCGACGGTCTTTAACGAAAGAGAGAGCTTAAGTCTGCGAGTTACGTGTGTTCCCTTGTAAATAGTAAATATAGTTGAAGTTGTTTTCTTGTTAACGTTGTTTCGTTTTATTTCCCCGCGCGAGCGTAACAATATAATAAAAAATAAAATAAATATACAATTTGTACATTATATCTCGAAAGTTGCATGTTGTATCTTTGTTAGAAAGCTGTCATAAATATATATTAGGTCAATCGGAAAATTCTGTCCATCTAGCGGCGAATAGCTATAGTTAGAACTGTCGGTAACTCTGTCTAAACCAAACTTAATTTTTTAGTTTTACCATCTGTCAATAAAATTCAGTGCATAAAAGTACGTTCGTATCAATAATATTGTTTCTTGCTGCATCGAAAATGTTGAAATTGGAATCAAATAAGCGTCATTTGCGCGAAGCGTTAATCTTTTGCTTCACATGGAAGAAAATTGCAACTGAAGCTCATCGAATGTTTGTAGAAGTTTAAAGTGATAGTGCTCCTTCCGATAAAACATGCAGATAATGGTTTCGACGTTTTAAAAGTAGTGA